TGCCCGGGTGTACATGTTTTTGGGTGAGTGGCTGCTGATGCATTTGCACATGGGAGCACATGCATGCGTGATGTGTGGTGTAAATTTTGCAGTTCCATTGCCTCCATCACCAGTGATGGATAATTCCACCATGAGGTATGCAAAACTCAGAAAGGCTAGTCGCTACTTTAGTCAACGTTTCTATGAGAAGTTTTGGCTGATCTTGATTCCTGATCTTGTGGTTTCTTTTTTTGAGATGCACATTTGTATAGCAAAATAGTTGTAGATGCAGCATGCACTTTTTAAGTAGCAGCTTGGAACTCTTGATTTTTAGCTCATGAGAAGAAAAAGGTCAGTCTTTCAGCTAGTGCTTCCCCTGTGCAATTGGAGTATTATTATGTTTGGTGGTACTGTCGATGGTTTTGTTTCTGGTTGGAGCCACTCGCGTTCCTTGTATCTTGTGAAAGTTAGTAAGAGCATCTGTAACAACAGTCTCTTGGAGGTTCGAGCCGCCGCAGGAGGTCTTACGGATCCTTGTAATTTACCCCAAAAGAGTTTGTGAAGGTTTAGAGGCTGCCTCAGGGTATACCGCTGGGAACCACATTCGTTGTGATATCCGAAGGAGAATAAGGCGGTCTTTCATGTTATTAGTGTGCCTTTGTGATAACACCCGTCCCTCCAAATGGTGATTAGCTTGTATATTGGGATACATCGACGTCTTCAGTTATCACTAACCCTACTCTTATTTGCGGTTTACTTTGGTCACTTGCTTTGTGTTCATCATATATGATTGCATATTTGACTGTAGCAATTGTTTAGGCATATATTTATATCCGACCCACCATCGACGTGGTGAGACCCCCTAGTCGCCAGGATACCATCAGAGCGTCCGGCGCTCAGAAAACTGTCTGTTGGGAGTACTTCAAATAGATTATACCTTGATTCTCTCTCTAAAAATAGATTATACCTTGATTATTCTATGAATTCTCAAATCGGGTTTATCAAAATGCAAAATCTAGGAGTACTTCAAATAGATTATACCTTGATTCTCTCTCTAAAAATTTAATCCCTCCGCCAAAAAACGTAGGACGTTTTTTCAGCTTAAATTAAAGTGCCAAAATTTATTGTATTTTCGTACATAGGTAGTACTCCCTTCGTTCCAATTACTCGTCGTGATTTTAGTTCAAATTAGAAAAAAAGCATCCGAGATGCCTCTTACACAGGTCATCTGCGGCATGGTTGTACTCCCTCCGTTCGAAATTACTTGTCTCGAAAATGAATGTATTTGGAACTAAAATACATCTAGATGAATATGGGCCTGGCTTGGGCTGGAAAGAAGCAAGCGTGCGTTCCATTTTGGGCTGCAATGCGAGTGTGTGCCCCAGAAGGAACCGACGGAATTCTGGAAGCGACGGAGAGACCTGATGCGTGTGCCAAGCGACGGCCAAAAGCGCGGTTTCGTTGGGTGGTGCCATTTGCCTGCCGCTAGAGTGGGTGCGCCACTCACTCGCTGCCATGCGACCGCACTCATCACCACGGCGCAACGCAAACGCAAAGGCAAAGCTGCTTTGCGTCTATTCGTCTCAAAAGACTAAACACGGAAAACAAGAGCCGGTTCTAGCATCACTAGGCGTTCAAATAAGGCCTTCTAGAACGAGCACTGCAGCAGAAAGCGGGTTTTCTTTACCGTGCCCGCGCGGCCGCATCGCACCGACGGCTAGCCGCATGAAAACAGAGCAGCATAGTAGATGTGACGTAGGACGTACATCTTCTGCGGTGGTGCATCCCAATGTCAATTACTCCCTCCGTCTTCTCTCTCTCAAAAAAAAGAAAAAGAAAACTACTTACAAGTTTTGCTGACTTGACATAGCATCAAATAAAATTGAGAGAGAAACATAAGAGTACGACCTCGTGAGTCGTCCATAAACAACCTGGGTCAAGGCCGTATATCAACATTTGTCCTTTCTTTTCTTCTTACATTTCTCATAAAAACTGCCACGTACTCCACGCTGTCTAAACCAGCCACCATCCCCAACGGAGAAAGAAATGTGAGGTTTGACGCAGTACCGGACATTGTGTCTCGCCACTTCCTCTTTGTCTGGTTGAATGGCGGGGGCAGAGCCAGGTCTTTGGATTTTTTTTTTGGAATACGCACGAGTGTGTGTATCATATATTAAGCGAAGAAGAGGGAAAGACACGGACGCGGCTAATCTGCACCCGAACTCATATGCTCCCGCATAAACAGTAAAATCAAAAAAAATCAAAAAAAGTTCAAAAAATTCCAATTTTTTTTGAGTGAAACATTGACAAAAGTTCTAAGTGTCTGCAAAAATTCGTCATGAAATCACATTCCTAGAAGGCGTGGCAAAAACAAAAACAAAAATAGTACTCTGGAAAAGCTACTTTCAAACGCATTTTGAAGCACTGAATTTATTTTTTTTGCCACGCCTTCTAAGAATGTGATTCCATGACGAATTTTTGCAGGCACTTAGAACTTTTGTCAATGTTTGTCTCAAATTTTTTTTGGAATTTTTTGAATTTTTTTCGATTTTTTTTTTCGATTTTACTGTTCATGCGGGAGCATATGAGCTCGGGTGCAGAATGGACTTTTCGGAAAGACACCCCATTCACGGTTATTAACAACACGCTTATACAACGCATTCCATGACATGGTGAGTTGGGCCAAACTCAGTAGAAACATGCTTAAAACCAACATCTGCAACGTGTTTGGTTGCTTGCGTCAACACTTCCTGTACTAGGGGATAGCTTCGCACACAGTGTTTGATTACCTGCATTGTCTGAACTCACACATAAGCACGTTATTTGGTTGCACATAGGATGCGAAGTGTGCTAACCGATCCTATGTGGTAAGGTTACCTTATACATGTTCACAACTACCACACCAACGGCACAACACTGCAATGGCAACGAACTGCACGATGATGAAGTTCTTCAACCCAAAGTGTGGCGCCGCCTTGCCAACTTCAACCTTCCATGCCTTCTTTCGCACAAACTTGGCTCTTCTTCTGCCACCTGTCTAATCTTAAACCATCCGTGGCTGTTGTTGATGTACGCTGAAACTTGTTCGTTGCAAGCTTCTCATGAACCGTAAACCCCTGGTACCCTTCCGACAAACATCGCATACCACTTGTCCTAGCAATGCACAAAGAGCAAAAGTTGAACCAGCAAGCAAATGGAGTAATAAAGCAACAAGCAAAGAAGCGCACGAACAACAAGCAATGGACCAGAAGAGAAGTAGTAAGCATGCATGATCATATGACATAGCAAGTTCAACCTAGCACTACTATGGTGTCATCCTATCACCATATCCAAAAGAGGGTGTCATCCTACCATCGTAAGTTCACGATCGTCATGAGGGGTTAGTATATACCACTTCAACAAAATATACAGACCGTCAAACAGTTTTCAAGCCCTAGCTACACAAAATATACATCGTCATCGTCATCGTCGTCGCCATCACCGTCTAGGATCATGCACGCGGTAACCAGCAGCAAGCTCTAGTAGTAGTGCTTGCCTAGCCAGCTCTTGAGCCAGAGCACCCCATGGGCGTCTGTTGAGGGAGTTATGGACTAAGGGGTCCTCGGGACGCCGACCCATCAAATATGGGCCGGACTGGCGAAGCCGTACAACGACAGGAAATCTATGAAGCCGTGGTGTGCCCTCCAAGTCAAGGACAGGCAGGATCTCTTTATCCCTTATTGTAATCTATCTCCGGTAACCCTAACCCTACCGATGTCTATATAAACCGAGGGTTGTAGTCTTTAGGGCTAGAGCCATATTCATCACCTCATCACCTTTGGGCTTAGCTCGTGCTGATCTCGAGGTAGATCTACTCTGTAAACCATACTATGCATCCAATACAATCAAGCAGGACGCAGGGTATTACCTCTTCGAGAGGGCCTGAACCTGGGTAAACACAGTGTTCGTCGTCCCTTGTTCCCCATCGATCCTAGATCCACAGCTCGGGACCCCCTACCCCGAGCTCTGCCGGTTTTGACACCGACATTGGTGCTTTCATTGAGAGTTCCGCTGTTGGATCGCCAGAAGAATCGATGGCTCAACCGCTCATTGGAGACCACACCTGCACCGAGGGCTTCCCCGCCCTAGTCATCTCCTCGTCTTCGGCGGCATATTAGTGTGTGCCGATCTCACTGGTCGTCTCGACAAGATCGAAGGCTTCACCCCATAGAGGGACTCACTGGTTGAGGGGCATCGACCCCGGGACCAGCAGAATCACAAGAATCAGGTATCTCTCAAAGTCCGGCCTATTGAAGCCTGACTCCGACAGACCTCCCACCGAGTCGCCGAGTGTCCGGCACCCCCATGTGCCCAGCCGACACACTACTTGGTGAGTCTATTATGTGCAATGAGAATCTCCGTTATCAGGCCCACGACCTATGATCGGATCGGGCCTAAACCCGAT